GCTAGATAAGGAAATATTCCTTTATTTTCATACAGGGTTGTGAAATAGCTGCATAGGCAACTGTCATAGGTACATGACTGATGACTAATCATGTTTACACTGGAAAGCTGCAATTCACTAATTCAAGATTTCTACAGTCAGATTGTCTGTACTGGGCTCAGGCAAGTTAGGAGCTGCTGTTAAAATGGCCTGAAGTCAAGGATGTTTTGATGGGTTTGGGTTGATGGATCCTGTTTCCTGCAGGCAGTGGTCTGGGTGCAGTGTGATGGTAACTGAAGAGTGGTATGATCTGACCTTTGATGATCTCTGTGGTGTGCACTGGTGGTGCTGGAGCTGTAGTCTAGTGAGTGCCAACTTGTGTCCCAAGAAATCAGCACTTTCTTCTTTTCCTTTGATACTGTGAGCCAAGGACCATTGGCCAGTGACTCTGACTCCTCCAGCAGGCCATGGCTGAGGGTTTTGGTGAAGGACAGTGTGTAGAGAAGCTCATTTGATTGTTGGTGATGCCATGATTTGTAGGGAACTGGGTTTCCAAAACTGTGAATCTGAAACCACTCATGAACACAAAACCTCCCATTACACAAGCACCTGAACTTCCAAACCACCGTGACTGCAAGTGCAACAATTTTCCATTAATTGTGTTGTGATAAGGAGCTTATTTTGCAGTTTTAATTTTACATGAAAAATTTCAGTATAATAAGGAGTTTGGAACCTGCAGTTAAGGAGAGAAGCCTGGCTCAGAGCTAGTTGAGTCAGACAGACTGCAAGGGTGTGTTTCTAATTGTGTAAGCTCCCAGAGGGAAGGGAATGGAGCTAGTCACGATAATATCTGGATCCCCTGTGAGAAAAGCTTCTTACTGAATTTGGGCATTTATGGTTTAGATTTTCCTATCTGGTCCTCCCTATCCTCCCTGTTCATGACCACAAGATTTCTTGTGTGTTCTCTTGCTGGCTGAATGGGTTTTACCATTTGAAAATGCCTCATATTTGCCCTGCAAGTGCATTATTGTTCATCACTGACCTCACTGGGAATGATGCCTGGCAGTACAATTAGGTTAAAAGAGAAATGCTGTGTCCAGCTGTCTAACATGGCATACAGTCTTTGCTGCTCCTGACTTTGCAGAGTACCAGTTTGGACACCATCTGAGAAAAAATGCACATTATATAGGAGATAAAATTAACATTTTTCTTCATCAGAGTGAGGCCTGTGTGTTCTACTTTCTGGTGTAAGAACTTCATGTTTAATCTATCAGGAGATGTGAACAGACACTCTTACCTGGACCAAAGTGTTCTCTTATTATTTCTGATGCTATCTGAAAACAGAAATTAAAAGATGCTGGTCTCTTTTATTAAAAGGCAAAGGTTATGGAATTAAGTAGGCAGGTAAGGCAGTGCCCCAGTTTACCTTAAGTCATTGTGGCTGGGCTTGGAATTACTTCCAGTTTGAATATGAAGTGTTAGCCTGCCAGTGAAGTGTTTGAAAAGAAAGAGGTTGCTGGGCAGGATAATTAAGTGTTCTTGAAGACCAGATGTGGCCTGCAGCAGCTCTTCTTTTTAATATGGAAATGAATAGCATTAAAAGTAGAGCATACTGGCAGTTCAGACCATAATGGAGCATTGTGCATGGGATATATTGTATTCAAGGGCTTCCTCTCCTTTATAACAATGGATTTTTTTTGTTTCATTCTCTGTTTGCCTTTGATCTCCTGGCAATATGGAACTCATCCCTGCCTTGGTGAGATTTGATCATTGTCCCAGTGTGTAGGAACCCCTGGAAGGAAGGAAGAGCAGTCTTGATTATCTGACAGTGGAGGTTTGGCCACCTTTTGTCTACAAAATTCCATCTTCTTGCAAAAAAAAAGTGTTTTCAATCCCACCCAGGAGAGCTCTCAGATGCAAAATACTTCACAAAATACTTGTGTGTGAACTGCTTTCTCTTTCTCTCTTTTACTTTGCAGGGAAAGGGAAAGATGTTGATAGTGATGTAGCCCCTATGCCCTGCAGAGAAGGGTGGGTTTTTCCCTGTGCAAGCAAACACTGTGCAAAGCCAGCCAGGCTTTGATGTTTCTCCTGTGGGTACTGGCATGGATTAGCAAGTACAGCCTTAATGTGGGAGATGGGGGGGTGAGCTTTCAGCCTGTCTGAGCCTTACCTGTCCCATTCTACATGATGCAGGCTGGAACATACAGGAGTAGCTCTGTTTACTGGATGTTAAGCACTAATATTTGCCTTCTGCTCCCCAGCTGGAGGCTGGTGATTTAAGGTACCTTAATGTAATGTGACTGAAGCCATAGAATCATGATCATATGGAGAAAATCCTTTTAGTGCCTTTTTTTGTATCTGTTTCTAATACAGCAGTTGAAATAAGGACAAGATGTTTGAACACAAGCAATAAACTGCAATGAGTGTTGAGACCATGTCTGTGTGTGTAACTTGGTGGTATAAAGATATGCTGAAGGAGGGAGGATTCCTCCCACCTCCGAATTTTGTGGTGATACTGTTCAAGAAACATTGTCTCTGGTTGGGTTCTAGAGCTTTCCTTCTGCAGTAGCCAAGTGGCAGCCAGATTCATCTGGCTAATTTACAATCCCTATTTCAGCTGCAAAAATATGATTACCAGATAAAACTGCATCTGTGGAATGCCCTGAAGCCAAGTGACATTTTGGGAATTGCCATCAGCTGCCCTTGAGTACCAGCAGTGAGGGTGAGGGTTGGAACCTTGTGCCCAGTGTAGGCAAGCTGTGGTGAAAGGAATGGGTGCACCTGCATTTTCAGTATCTTATAAACAGCTTTTCATTTGGATGGTCATAATTTAATGATAAATGCCAATTCAGGGCACGGAGCAAAGGGTAACATCTCCAGTAGAGATGGCAAGGGGTGGAGCCAGGATAACGATTAAACTGAGTTTACTGTTAGCTCCTATCCCCTGTAGTAAGGGCCTCACGACCTTGGAAGCTCCAAAATGTCAGCTCCTGAACAATGTATAAAGCATTGCATTCAGCAATGTTTTAGCAAGAGTTTCCTCCTGGATTAGTGGCCTTATACACATTTTGTAATGGAAACAGTTAGCAAGAGAATGGTCATCTTCTGCTTACAGACAAGGCCTTCCTTGTTAACACTGTGCTTGGGATGATATTTCAAGGAATTCCAAAGGATTCCCAGGTGAGTGGCAGGAATGATCAAACGTTAAAAACCAGCAGTTCCAGGGAAACACCAAATGAACCAGTTCTGTAGAGGAAGGGTGACTAGGGGAGGGTGTGTGAGGTCTTCAAGTGTCTAAAAGGTTTTCTGCCTAGAGAAAGGCAATAATTTGGTCTCTAAATCCATCCAGGAGGTAACATGATTATATTGCAGCAAAGAATTAAATCACACTTAATTTTTGAACTGCAAGTAAAATAAAAGTCTAAATAGATTGCCCTGGAAAGCAGTGCTTAAAAAAAAACTGGACAGGCATCTGTCAGCAGTGGTTATGGGGTTGCTGATCCTGCATGGAAATGGAGTTACCTCCCCAGCCCCCTCCCAGACCAAAGTGTAAAGAAGTCTTGCTGGGCTTTGGGGATGTGGCTTATCCCCTCACCGTGGTATGTTAATGGTACAGAGGAGACTGCAGAGGCAAGGGTGTGAAACTGCTTCCCTGCACCCCACAGATCCACAGAACTCTAAATGTTGCCTGCAGGGACACAGGAAGCATTTCTGGTGTGAGCTGGAGCGGTGGGGTGGTGGAGGCCGTGGTACCTTTGCACTGCAGAGCCTGGGGCTGGCACAGCCTTTGCCCCAGAGGAAGGGGAGGGACTGATCGAAGGCGTTAGTAGGGCAAAGGCTGTGTTTTCAGTTGATCCTGACTCCAGCCAAGGCAGAGAGGAGGTTGGCATGCCCCCTGCACTTTTAGCCAGGCCAGCAGGGCTGGAAAAAGTCTCAGTGCCAAGAGAGCAAACTTTTGAGCAGGCTGATGCCCTTTGTCCCGCTGTCTGGAGGGCAGGGACTCACCCCAGCGCTGAGCTGGAGGCAGCCCAGCACATTCATGTGCCTCTGTACCCAGCCAGCAAGGCAGGCCTGCAAGCTTTGCACGACCCCAGGCTAGAAGCAAACTCTGGACTCTTTGGGGAGGAAGGGGGGGTATTTACCTCCCATGTGTGGCTTTCCCATGTCCCTGGGAAGTCTCCCACCCCTATGTACAGGCAGCACAGCCAGGAGCAGGGAACCATGGAGTCATGTTGGGTTCACACCTCTGTGTCCTGCACGGGGTGGTTGGAAGCTGAAGGCATTCTGAGCCATGTGCCAGAGGTCTCCCTGCCTCACACCAGGTGGTCCAGGACACACAGGAGCCCCGTGTCAGCAGGCTGCCTGGATCACTCATCTGCACTGATCCCCTTGGTTATTGCCTTGTCCTCTGGCACTTGTCCTCTTTGTTGTCCTCAGTGTGGCTCATCCTTGGTCTCCATAGTCAATAACCAAGACCTGATATAGCTCCATGCAGGTGATGTCTTTTCTTATTCCAGTCAGTACCACAAATGGATTTGTTGATGATGGAATGAGTTGTCAGTGTGCCTCCCGTGCAGCGAGGCCATGGAAGAGCGGCGTTTCAGTTGCTGGCATGTCAAGGAGGGCAGTTGTTCCTCTATGAAGCATTTGTGAGCTTACATCTGAGAAACTGTGTCCTACTTCGGTCCCACCAGCACAGGAGAGATCAACTAGGGTCCAGCAGAGGATCAGTCATTGAAAGGATAAGCAATTAGAGGAATGAAGCACATGCTGTACCGGCACTGACTGGAGCACAAACTCTGCTCAGAGGTGCACAGAGCAAAAGTAGAAGATGGCAGGCACCAATTGCAAGAGAGAAAATTCCATCTGGACATAAGGAAAAGCTAGTTTACCCTTATTATAGTTAGCACAAGTCCCAGAGAGATGGGAATCTGGTCCTTGGAGATTTTCAATATTGAAGAATATCTTAAGCACCCTGATCTACCTTTGAGGGTAGCCCTACTTTTAAGTAATGCAACCTCCAGAGATCACTTCCAACTTGATTTTTTTCCTCCATTTCTGTCTAGTCCAAATGCCTAGAGCTTGCCTAATGCAGTGTCTGCCCTGACCCTCAGCTAAAAACCTCCTCACCAAGACCAATGAATCCTCTTAGAAACTGCAGACCTGGCCAAACCAGATTGTTTAATGCAGGATGTGTCCCCTACATCTGCCTTCTGCTCCTTCTGCTCAATAAACTCTCCTGGGGAGAAACTATGTTCTTGATCTGTGTTAGGTTTCCCAGCAGGGGATGGTATCCTGGTCTGCCATGGGGCAAAACAGGGGCTACAGAAATGCAGGAAGGTTTTAATATCTTAGGAAACTCTGCCTGACTCTGCACCTTCTCCCTGGCTGCTCATGATCTGTTGCTTTTGAGCTGGTGAAGTCCAAAGGCAGCTTCTTCTCATCTTATCCTGAAGGAGTGGTGTTAAATCCCCGTGCATCCCAGCTGTACCACAGGCTGTGCAGGGAAGACAGCAAAGGGGATTTTCTGCCATCATCTGTTCCCAATTACGGTGGCTTCAGGGAACTTTTTGGCCAGTTTCCACCACAATCTGTCAGCTTCCAAACCCACGCAACTGGGAGGTGGGGCCTCGTAGTGGTGGTAGTGGCCAGAGCACAGAGCATCACCCTCAGAGGACCCGGGTGAAGGGACAGTGCAGCCACCAACCTCTGCTCCTGCTCTGCTGGGAACGGGCTGCCCCTCGGTGAGTAGCTTGTGCCCACAGCTTCAGTGGGACTGGGGGGTGAAAGGAGGGATCACTCACTCTTTTTAGATCTCCAGAATTTCATCTGCTGCTAAGAAAAGGGAGCCTGTGCTGGGGCTGGGAGCTGGAGTTGTGTTTTCGGTGTCACCCAACCAGGAGCAGTGCAAGGGAGTGTTTTGCAGTGCTTTTGTCCCCTGCATCAAGCTGGAGCTGCACAGGAACAGGCACTGACATTACATACAGCAGATGTATGAGGATGGGATGCTGACCTCAGCTGGACATCTCACCACATCCCTACCCACAGCACCTCTCTGCTCTTTCTGAGCCTGAATCTATTCTCATGCACATCTGTCAGCACCCTGGTTACTCTGAGTTTGCTTTGCCAATGCCCTTTATCCTGCCTGTACTGTAACTACTGCTAACTACATGTCTCTCAGCTCATTTTGTGCATCTTTAGGTGTTAGGACACACTGTCAGGGGAGGGCTGTGTGGAGACATTGGTTTTACAGCTTAACTGGTAAAAAGTCAAGCATTGGGCAATGCCACCTCCACTGCACCCGTGGGAGGTGTGTTTCTCAGCCCAGCTCCCAGCCCTGCTGTGCTTGGAGGGGTGCAGGACTGAGGGAGGGAGCCTGAGCACAGCCCTGCCTTTGCAGTGGGGTCTGCGGCTCCCAACTTTGCTTTGCAGGTGGATGCGCCACGATGACGGTGAAGAAGAGTGGAAGTGCCAAGGTGGGTGCGGGAAGAGGGAGAGAGGGGAGGGCAGAAGTGTGCCAGGGGGCCAGGTAGCACATACCAACTCTGCCAGGTGAACAGCTGTCACATCTCACACTGTCCCACATGTCACTGTGTTATCTCTTTATGGATCTTTACCTGCAACAGTGTAGAGCATCATCAAAGGGAAAATATAAACCTTTTTGCTTGCTTGAAATTAAATAGTTCAGATTCCAAAAGGTTAACCCTGAGCTGATGTGAGCCCTGGGTGACAGCTGCTGGCAGTGCCTGTCCTTCATCCGTGGCCCCACTGTAGCCCCAAACCTCCATCAGACATGGAGGTTTCCACCAGAGTGGAAAGCCAGAGGGAGAACTCAGACAGTTGGGCTTAGGAAATGGGAAGAGTAGGGACTGTCATCGCTCCAACACTGCCTGTGATGTCCCCCTCCTTCAGTGGCAGCAGACAGCCTGCTTGTCCGTGGCTATGTCTTACAGGACATAGGGTTTGAGAAATGGCCTTCAGTGCAAGCCGAGGTCCTCTGTGCTCTCTGAAACACATCATATGCTACCAGTGTGTGGGTGATGGGGCATTCCTCAGGGAAGGGCTGTTGGCTAACTGATGCCCATCTGATGTGCAGGAGAACGTGCTGCAGAGGGTCCTGCAGCTGCCAGTGGTGAGCTCAACCTGTGAGAGCCTCCAGCGGACCTACACCAGCACCAAGGAGGCCCACCCACTGATGGCCTCGGTGTGTGAGGTGTACGAGCGGGGCGTGCAGGGCGCTGGCGCCTTGGCCATGTGGGGCATGGAGCCCGTGGTGCGCAGGCTGGAGCCGCAGTGTGAGTGCCAGTGCTGGGGGGCATGGCAGGGGTGCCCACCAGAGCCTCCCTTGGTGGGACAGTGATGGCACGAGCATGTGCCTGGACAGCCCGGGGTACTTTTCTTACCGTGCTTTTGCCCAAGGTAGTTGCTGTGGCCAACAACCTGGCTTGCCGTGGCTTGGACCACCTGGAGGAGAAGATCCCTGCCCTGCAGTATCCAGTTGATAAGGTAAGTCATAGGCAGGGCAATCTGGAACCCCCGCTCCCACTGCAGACCCCACAGCACATCTTCTCTGGTCTTGTTTCTGGATGGTGAGGGGCTGCTGGGTGGAAAACAAGGCAGCCTAAGTGAAGGCTCCCAGATACAGATAAAAAATGTCCTGTGTCCCATTCCTGCCAGCTACCTCCAGCCCAGGCAGGAGAGAGCTGCTATGCCCCTCTCCGAGCTCTTTACTGGCATGGCTATGGCTGGGGTCCCTGTGGTTCCCCCAGCTGTCCCATGCCACCCCAAGCTCACCAGCAGGGCTGTTCTCCATCTCTCTGCTGGCAGCTTGCGTCTGAACTGAAAGACACCATCTCCTGCCCCCTCCAAAGTGCCAAAAGCACCATTGGCAGCTCCATGGATAAGATCATAGAGCTGGCAGCGGAGGGCTATGAGGCCACCAAGAGCACGGTGGAAACGACGGCAAAGTACACAAGGAAAAACTCGGTGACCCAGATGGCAGCTGCGGGGGTCGACACAGCCCTGGGAGGGCTGGAGAAGTTGATGGAGTACCTGCTGCCAGAGGAGGATGAAGAAGCAGGTAGTCCTGATACCTAAATCCCCTCTGAGGGTGTCTGGTGATGGCTGGCTTGGCAGCTCCTCACTTGTGGAGTGGATGAGGCAGGAGGCAGCCCCTGGATTTTGGTGTAGGGCTGCCTCAGAGGGTTGTCCCACCAGTTCGTAATCTTTCCACCATTCTTCTGCCTGTGCTTTTCTGCCTTTTAGATCAGAAGCCCAAAAAGAAACATCAGTCAACAGCAAAGGTCTCCCAGCAGCAGGCCAGCACTGCCAGCTCTGCCAGTGCTCCCAGTGCTCCCAGTGGTTGCAGCACACCCAGTGCACCCAGCACTCCCAGTTCTCCCAGCACCCTGGGCCGGATTGGTGCCTTGGTTAGCTCTGTCTCCCACCGTGCTTACCAGCAAACCACTCAAAGCCTCCAGCGTGCCAAAACCAAAGGGCAGGAGCTGGCCACCTGGATCCCCATCGTGGTGAGTGCCAAATCCCACCTGCTGGGTTTCTGTACCCCATACCCTCTTTGGAGCTAATTTTCACATGAGACATTGCAGGCAGCTTGGAGGAAGTCCAAGCACAGAGTATGTTTCTGCTCAGCAGGACAAGGTGGGGCCATTGGTTCCTGCGTGATATTCACACACAACCATGTACCACATCAGTGGGACAAGTTATTTTTAGCAGACTCCCAGTGTATAATTGTTGATTTATGGCATTGCCATAACATCCTTCCTAAAGCAAAAAGCCCCTCCAGAGACCTAGAGGGGATGAGGAGACAGAGGCCCCTTTCCCACCTCATGCTGCAGTGGGAACCCCTTCCCTGGCCTGTCCCAAAATCCCAGAGCTCCCGTCTGCCGTTGGGTTTCTCCTCGGGTACACAAATGAACTCCCTGCTCCCTGTGCACCCCAAGGTCCCTGAAAAATCCTCAGGCTAAGCAGGATGGAGTGGATGGGACCTGCCAGCTCCCTCTGAGAGATGGCTTTTTGCTGCTCTTCCAGGGCAGCCTGGCCAAGCCGAGCATACCCACGGCACCGCCGGCCCACAGTGACGGGCAGAGCAGCACCCGGCGGCAGAGCAAGGCAGCAGAGCAGAAGCAGGAGAAGGCAGGGAAGAAAGACAACAACCACAGCAAGGTATGGAGAAAAGGAGGGCAGTGAGCTAGGGATACCCCAAAGCATCCTCCTACCCATGGACCATGCCAGCATGGAGGCTGTTTCCCCCACACCCCTGGGGAACAGGCCCCCATCCCCACTGAACCCTGAACTGCAGCTTGGAGGAGATGAGTTGGGGGCTTGGCAGGGGGGCAGTCCCAGCAGTCCTCTTCCCTGATTCCCCAAAGCTGGGGGCTGTGGGCAGCCTCTGTACCAGGCAGGGTCACGCTGTCTTGTATGTTCAAGACTCCTTTGGAGCTGTGGGGTGTCAGCACAGAGCTCACAACTGAGCCCCAGAACACTCCTGACCCCTCTGCCATGGTCCCAGAAGCAAGGGGTGGTGTGAGCTGAAGGGGCTGGGAACAGTCTCCAGCACTGGCTCCACTGGGACATGGGGACGGGAAGCGGCAGGTTGGGGTCACTGCCCTTCGCCTCTGCCTGCAGCGGAAGCACAGCCTGGAGCAGAGGGTCCCCGGGGGCCTGGAGTGGGGGGAGCTGGTGGGGACAGGGAGCGACCCTGCTGCAGAGGGCTGCAGTGGCTCTTCCAGAGCAGTGAGCTGAAAGCGCTCAGGCTTCAAGCTGTGAAGGGGAAGGGGAGCCCAGGGCCAGCCCATCCCACCCAAAGGGGCCGGTGGGGAAGGGGCCAGGATCAAGAGCTGAGCTGGTTTCTCTTGGCAGGCAGGGGAGGACCCTGGGCTGGTGGGCAGTGTGGCTCACAACCTGCAAAGCGCCTGCGCCTCCGGCATCTCCACTGTGAAGAAGGTCCCAGCCGTGGCCTGGGATGCGGCAGAGGGGTTGATCCTCTTCACCCCCCGCAGGCTGTCCAGGGCCATGGAAACAGTGGATGCTCTCGGGGGGACCCTCGTCAGTGCCCCTAAGCATCTGCTGGGCACCCTGTACAGCTTCGTGCCGGTGAGTTTGTCCCCAGCCAGGTCCTGTCCCTCTCTAGCAAACCCCATTTTGCCCAGCCTCCTCCCATGAGCATCTCATAGCTCCAGGCAATGTCAGGAGGTAGCAGATTGGGGAGATGGGGTGCTGTGAGGACACCTCAGTCCCACCCTCCTCCTGAAGCATCCCCCAAGCTGTGACAGTAGTTCCCCAATAGAAGCAATAGGTTGGACAGTGGTGGCACCTTCACACAGTTCATTTCCAAGCCAGGGTGTGACCACACATTTCTGGGAAGGTGCCAGTTCAGGTTGAGACTATGTCCCCTCTTCTTTACCCCACCCTGTTGCTCCCCTGGGATCATTTCTCCACCACAGCTGCTCAGGGGTTGCCCCTCTGGGGGCAAACTGGCTTATCCTGAGGTTCTCCCAGTTTGGGGTGGGGGGCTGTGTAGCACAGGTAGGGCAGGGCTGGCAGGTGGGTACAGCCTGGCTGGGTCCTCACCCCATCTCTCAGCTCCGCAGGCAGTCAGTGAAGGAAGCAGAGGCACCCAAGGGCAGCAAGTCCGACCCGGAGAAGACAGAGAAGAAGGAAGAGAAGGAGGACACCAAGGCTGCTGCCCCCTCCGCTGAGGAGAAATCCCAGCTGAGAGGTGACTGGCGGTACCGTGGCCATCACCCCCTCTCCTTCCTGGGGCTCGAGGACCCCCTCTTCCTGCGGCACAACTACTACCGCAGCCCTGCCTTCGAGCCCGAGTACCCCTTCCCGCGGAAATCCGCCTTCTCCCCCTACAACAGGCGGGTGAGTGAGGGCTCCTACCGCTTCAGCCCCGAGCCCATGTACAGCCGGGCTTACTATGGCAACCTCTACACTCCTGTCTTCAAGAAAGACTGAGCTAGTGGGGAGGACAAGCACATCCCACCCCCCTTCTAATCCCCCCACAGCACGCTTTGCCCAGGCCCCCTGCCAGCTGCCCACATGCACCCCTGTACCAGGACAGGAGCTGTAAGTGGTAGACAGGCCATAGGATGTGCATCAAGGTCAGGGTGAGGTAATAAAGGCAGACAAAAGCCCTGCTGCTGGAAGGAGAAGGTAGGGGGAGGTGGGACCAGAGGGGAGCGGTGAGGTGAAGGAGGTGTAGAAAGAGTGGTGAGACCAGAAAAGAGGAAAAGGGACCAGCCAGGGCTAGCACTGGGTTACCCTGGTCCCTGCTGAGCAGATAGCATGGACTTATATGGGCTTCACATTGAGAGAGCAGGGAGGACAGCAAAGCCATCAAACATCACCATAGCAAGCCTGGTTCCCTGTCCTTCCTCCCTCCATCTCCCTTTGCAGGGCCCATCCCTGGCCACAGATTGCTCCTCCATTGAGGGCCTGAAGATTCCCACTGACCAGCAGGATTCATGAGTAGGAAAGCCCAGGGCATCTCCCTCCCAGCTGGTGGTGGGATAGATGGTGGGGTCAGGAAAATGACTGCTGAAAACAGGTGGAGCTCCTGGAGCCCCTCTCCCACAGGATCACCTGGCTTCCCACAATGCCTTGTACTCACTGCAATAATAAACCTTCCTACCTGCTGCTCGCCCCATCTGCTCGGCTGCTTTATGGGAGTGAGACACCAAACCAAGGGAACAGAGTGGGGTGAGACCCCCCAAACCAGGGCCAAGGGAGTGGGTGCGGGAAACACCCTCGGGTAGCTACCACAGGGACAGTGGGTGCTCATGCCCAGCACAGTACGTGCTTCTTCCCATGCCCCAAGTATGAATTCACAGCTCCAAGGAGCCAGGGCTTCCTGCCAAACAAAATTTATTGCATTTCCAGAAGAACACAGCAGAGAAGTCAAGTGTCCATACAGCACACACAAACCCTCTTCCAACACAGTTTTCCCAGGGCACGAGGGGAAGGGTTTGGGGAGAGGCAGGAAAAACCTCCAAGCAGCAGAAGGGTTCAGCGACGAGCCCAGACACCCCCTTTCCCACCTCCTTTCCTCCCCAGGGAGAGGCAGCTTTACAGAAGGAGTGTCTTGAGAAGGCCTGCGGTACCATCCCCATCCTGGGAACAAGCCCAGTGCCTGTTTTTTCCCAGGCACAGCCTGTTGAGCGCTCACTCGCACAAGGGAAAGGCTGTGATCACTGAAAGGCTGTGGGAGAGAGGACGGTTCAAAAGCAAGGCGGGTGGGATGGAAGGCATCAGCCCTCACCGAGGACCTCCAGGGTCAGCCGGAGCCATGGGCTCTGGGACACGGTGAGACACACGTGGGAACTGCCAGTGCCTCCCGGTAGAGAAACCCCCACCTTGCCAGCTCACGGGTGCTCCAGGGTTACTGGAGAGGATCCTGACGAGCGTTTAACAGGAATAAGGATCCCAGGGTAGGAGTGGAGAGACAAGGACTAGGGTGCTGTACAGAAGCAGCGTGTCACCCCTGCTCACCAACAGCCTGGGCAGCTCCTGCTGCAGGAGCTGGGGATGCTGCTGCCTGGAGCTGTGGCAAAATCGCCCAGTGGTTTCCAGTGTTGGGGGATAGAAGGAATAAGCAGGAGGCACCTAAAAAGCTGGTACAGCAGAGAGTAGAGATTCTGTCCCATCACAGAGCCAAGAGTAATGCATTCAGTCCTTGGCTGCGTCGGCTGCGTATGGCAGGACACCCAGACCCTGACATTAGAAGGACAGCAAGGAACCCATCGTACTTATGGAAAGACTCACACCACCTCCATGGGCACCCAGGGAGGAGGCCTGGCCCAGCTGGGCAGCACAGAGGGCAGCAACATCCGCGCTGTAGCTCAGAGGGAGTCCGTTCGTTTGCGGGTAAACACAGCCGACATGGTCTTGACGATGCCACGGATCCCTGTACCCTTTTTCAGTGCCAGTTTGGTGTCTGGGATGCGCTTGGCCAGTCCATGGAAGACCATGAGGGCCCCATGATAAGCCTCAGCTGCAGAGACCTCATAGAAACCACAGTCTAAAGAGAGGGCGAGGAGCCGACCCTCCTCGCTGGACACCACCCGCTGGTGGTGCAGGTCCCGTTTGTTGCCCACAATGACGATGGGCACCTTCTCCTGGCTCTGCCCCTCCTTGGCTGCCTTGATGAACTGGATTTTAAGGGGCAGGATGTTGAAACTAGCACGGTCACAGATACTGTAGACCAGGACAAAGCTGTCTGCCCACTGGATTCGCTTCTCCTCTGAGGAGCCATCCTCTGTCTGCTCCTGGGGAAAGAGAAAAGGAAGGGCGTTTTTATCTGGCTCCCTTCCTCCACACCTACCTGCTAGAAGAGGCTGCAGCAATCCTAAGCCTAACAAACAGCAAAAGGGGAGAGAGAAAGAGGAGTACTGAAAAGGCAGTCCTCACCAAGGGGGCAATTTGGCCTTCAGCATCACTGTCCTCACCTCCTCACCCAGCTGCCAAGCACTGCAGGCTGTAGGTGAAAACAGCATGGGGACCTCAGAGCAGCATTTCCATTTCTCTAGCACAGTCCTATCCTCACTCTGGGCTGGCAGTATTAGTGCTTCAGCTTCAATGTCCTCAGTCACAGGACCATGGGCTACAGTGACTATTGATACCCTGCCAGCAATGCTGCTGCCCCATGCTCGGCAGACGAGAAGGGTTTGATCACCTCTGATGTGTGAGCTTTGCTCAACTAGAGCTCCCAGCCTGTGGTTTCCCACAGGTAACTTTCAATAAAGCATTTTTTGTCCCTGGAGTGGAAATGGGTGACAGGAGTGGAGTCCTCTCACCTGAGAATTGGGGGCATCCCAGATGTGGAAGAGAATTTCTCGGCCATCCACCGTCACGCTGTGGCTGTAGATGAATTCTGCCGCCAGCCCCCCAGAAAAAAAAAAAAGTTATCCTCATGGTATCACCAGCTGCCACCCAGGACCTTTTGCACCCCAGAGAATCAGTTCTGGAGCAAAGAGATGGTTCAGCGAATAAATACAACCACTGAGCCTCTGGGAGAAGGCAAAGGCTCTGGAGAAAGGCAGGAGAGGATGGGCAGGAAGGAAATCCTGTGGGCAGAAGCAGGGCTGCCTCCTGACCCCAGTCCCTAATGGGAACCTGGCCTGGCACTCACCCATGTCTCCATACTCCCCGATAAAGCGCCGGGTCAGGAAACGCACAGTCAGAGCTGCAGAGGGAAAGATAAGAATCACCAGAATAACCCTAAACCAGAAGAATTCTCCTTTCTAGATTCAGAGCAGAGTCAGGCACTATCCCCCTGTAAACTCCCAACAGCATGAACGGCTTCTGTTTTTCCCCTGGCCACCAGCAGTCTGCGAGCGGAGCAGAGGCACAGCACGACCCCACCGCATCAGCAAACTGCAGCTCAGTGGAAAATACCTTCCCTCGTCCCTCATCCGATGCCTACAAGGTTGTGCTCACCTTCCCCAGCTCAAATCACAAGGGCTCAGCCCCATCTCACCAGTTTGCTCCACAGGCTGCTCCCTGCAGCTGGTTCTCCAAACACTGATGCAGTTTGCAGCCTGGGAACCTCATGCTCCCAGCTCACCTGATTTCCCCACATTGTCCGCTCCCATAACAAGGACATTTGCTTCCATCTTCAGGGCAGTGGGGCCAGGCACCTCCATGAGGGCAGGGTGGTCGGGGGTGAAGCTGGTGCTCCGGCGCAGAGGCAGCCGGAGCCCCATTCCGAGCGTGGCCGTGGCTCTCCAGCAGTCCCAGCAGTGTGTGTACAACTCCTCTCGGCACAGCCGACAGTCCAGTGCTTCCCACGGCACCCAGGGGACCCGCGAGGACCATACCCCTCCCCGCAGCCGCAGGGGCGGTGCAGAGGGAACTGCAGGCAGCCGGATGAAAAACTTTGTCATCGCTCAGACTGTCCTGAACATACGTCAGTGCCTGGAGCCGGCCGTGCCAGCCCCCAGCGCAGCAGGCGGCCGGGAAGCTCCGGCTGTCTGCACCAGCTGCTCTGCAAACTGCATCCCAGGAGGTGCCCACGCCTGCACCTCGAGCAGTTTGCCCCTTGGCAGCGCCACGTAGCCCCTTGTCCCTTCCCCATGGCGACCGTGGGAATGCCCGCGAGGAGTGGAGGAGTGTCTGACAAGTGCTGGAGAGTCTCGTCAGGGACGGAGCACCTCATGAGAGATGGAGCCCCTTGTAAGTGACTCTCCAGCACCTCACGGGGTTGGAGAACATTGTTTCACGAGAGATGGAGCATCTCACGACTGACGGAGCGTTGTCCCACACGTGATGAAGCACCGCACGAGGGATAGAGTCCCTTGTGAGTGACGGAGCATCCTACGAATGATGGAACATCTCCCGAGTGATGGAGCATCTCTGGAGCTACGGAGTTCGTCGGGAGCACCCACCGCTTGCCCGGACCCGTACTCACAGCCCCCGCAAAAGCCCTCCCGCATCCCCGTTTTCCCCCCGGCGCTTTCCTCTCCCGGGTGGCTGCCCGGGGGTTGGCCAGAAGACGCGGCGCGCTACCGACCCCCTCCCGCTCCTCCATTCCCTCTCTCCTCCCTCCCTCCTTCCCCCTGCCCAGGAGCCGGAAAAAGCCTTTGACGCCAATCGCGGGGCGCCCGGCGCGGGCCCATGGCGGCGGAGGTGGGCTGCGCGGTGCGGGTGGCGGTGCGGGTGCGGCCCGGCTGCGGGTTGCCCGCGGGAAAGGCCCGGCTGAGGCGGGGGCACCGGCGCCTGCCTGCGGGGCGATGCCGCCACCAGGCGAGGTGTCGCTGGGCCGCCGCCGGTTTCCCGCTTCGCCGCCGTGCTGCCCGAGGGCGGGCGGGCAGGTCCCGGCCCGTGTAACGCGGGCCTGCGTCGCAGCCGCCTGCTGCGCGCCTTCCTTCCGCGGCTTCAAACGCCACCGTCTTCGCCTACGGGCCGAGGGCCTCCGGGCAAAGCCACCTAACACGGCATCGGGAGGCCAAGCGTAAGGTGAGTCCGCGCGCGGGACGCGGCAGCGCCGCGCCCGCCACATCCGCCTGTTTCGCTCAGCAATCCCTGCCGCGCCAGCCATCTGCCTCCGCCAGCATCCCTGCCCCGCCAGCATCCCTGCCCCGCCAGCATCCCTGCCCCGCCAGCATCCCTGCTCCGCCAGCGTCTCTGCTCCGCCAGCGTCTCTGTCCCTCCAGCATTCCCACCACTCCCAGCTCTCCCCAGCAGTCCCACACTGCACCTTCTTCCATCCCCACCTCCTTCCATCCCCAGCCAAGCCACCACCACCACCATCATCCCATCCATCTCTCCCAACCCTCCAGCCTCACCATCCACCCCCATTTCAGCACCTGTGCTCTCTTTCTAAACCCTACAGCAGCAGCATCTCCATCACTTCCAGTATCACTGTCCTAACCAACCCTTCCACCCTGTTAGCCCCCACCAGCCCAACCCCACTCCTGTACCACCCTTCCCCATCCTTTCCCTCCAGCAGCCTTTCCTTCTCTCCACCCATGCTGCTGTAACCACCCCCAGGGAAACCACCTTTGGGATCACAGCATGTAGGGTTTCTCCTTTTCCACTGCAGGACCTGGTCCTCCACCTGCTCTGGAGGTGGTGGTGATCTTCCTAGGTCCTGAAATAAACCTGAAGGAGAGTGAGAGTTGCAGGGGTTAATACTGTTAGTTTGTTTAT